AGAAAGGAAAAAAAAACTAGAGAGAAGGAGGAGAAAAAACATAGAGAGAGAATGAGCATTTTTTTATTCTTTCTGATGCGCTTAAGGTTAATTAATAAATAACCCATGACTTGCATAATTTTAACATTCCTAATCGAGCCCCAACAACCTTATCCTTACCATCTCCTGCCAACATAACTGATGTCTCGATTGACAAAAAATAAAGTTCATGAAGATAACTTTCCAACCGTATCGGCTATCTCCTCCACACCTGGGAACCTAGGGGCCTCCACGTTATACATAAACTTTTATGGACTCCGGACCGACCCATCAAAACTAGGTCGAATGAGCATTGGGCCTATATATCTGAGCACAAGTAGCGAAGGGAATATTACCGACAAGATCTGTAGATCTCTACGATCGACAAACATCCTCTTGCATGTGGATACAGAACCAATAAAGCTGATAAAGCCACCACCCAAGCTGTCCCATCCTCAAAAATCGAGTTTTGCATGGATTCACGTGACGCAACCCTACGCCCGTAGCTGGCTTATAACATTTATTACACCACTGTCTTTTTTGTGTATAAATTCGGTCATCTTGGCCCATAAAAAAATAAAAATAAATTCAGGATCAGGCAAGCCAAACCTGGTATGTACAACTCTCATAAACATACTAAATTATATTTGGAGATTTCACTCTCTTTTTCGACCTCTCCGGTGGGTCGAAAAACTCGGTGTCTTTTAATTTTTCTAGTATATTTCCTTTTGTTTTCCTTGTATTTAATGTTGATCCTTTCATTTCCCTGTTATTATTCCATCAACGTCAGTGGTTTGAATCCACTTCTAAGCGGGCGAAGGAGAGCAAAGCGAGACTCTTAGTCGACGATTACGCGTTTCACTGTTCTAGTAACCTCCGATTTGATCTTTTCATAAACACCATCTGTAACCGTTGGCAGACGACTGCTAACAACATCCATTTTTCCCATATGTTTTATAAGCTCAATAAGATTCTCTTGATTCATTGAAGATGATGATTCGTCATGCCCCCTTAATGCACATCCTTGCAAACAAAGCCAATAGATGCTTTTGATTGTAGTGGTAAGTCTCAAACAATTCTTTTTCACTTCCTCTGATGTTTGTGCAGTCATCAGTTATCGATGTGACCACTGGCATTCGTTAAAATGCTCATTTGATTGCATAACACTATTATGTGGTGATGTAGAATTTTCTGTATGAATAAAAAAAATCACATCTTTTGCCATCATTATCTCTTTTGGTACTTCCAAATCCATGAATTGTATAAGCACGATGACAGACTTTTTTTTTTGAATGAAAACTGAAATGAGAGAAACAAAACGCCGCATCTTTCTGAGGAGAATACTCAATCCACGGAAATTACTCATACAAACTTTGTTGAAAGTGTCGAGTCGGTATTCGAATTTTATTTAGGCTCATTGCAATACCTTCTACATGTTTTGAAAATATTTGCATTAATTTGATTGAAAATTTTTATTAGCATCTGATTATCTAACAGATATTTATGAAAATGCCTAACATTAGTTTCTAAACAAGAAATTTATTCATTCCTTCCATCCCGTAACTGACGGGTTTACATTAATTGAACAAAAAAATCGATAAACTTTAGTTTGATCGCCCCCTGTTGCTGGCAGATCCGACGACCAAGGACTCAAACCTTCCCCCCTCCTTCCCTCACCTCATGGCTGCGACCAATCCCTCCATCAAAACTTATCTCATGTCTTCCCTATTTTCTTATGGTAGAGTCAGCCCATTTACTCAACTGGAATGCAATTTAGCTACTCATTCATTATTGGGTGTGCTAAGTCAAATCCATCTATGTGAATTTGATAATCAAAGGCCGACTCCCTGTAAGCAATTGCTCGATCAAACTCTAATTGTTCTCCAGATAGAGCAACTCAAACCCTCAAAGTCAGTGGCGAAGTCCCTTACATTGTTCTTATTCTGAATATTTCATGAAGACAAAAAATTTAGCCACTCCAATTAATTATGCACATACACGTGACTTACATTTATATACATATTTTTTCACAAACAATTTAACGGATTGAGAGGAAATAACTTACTAGGAAGAAATTGCTGAAATATTCTACAACCGCCGGGTCGTTTTCTTTGTCAGTCACAATGTTTCTCATATGTTAGCATTTCTATATGATAGATATTGTGTGGTCGAATTGTACACAGAGGAAGTCATTCGTGAAAAAATCAATATTAGCACCTCCTCACCTCACTTCTGCTATATCACCTCTCCTGCCGGTGGGTCAGTTTTGTGGAGGCGTGTGTGGAGCACTGCACGTTCTCAGTTCTGATTAATGGCAGCTCCGTCGACATCTTCTCTTCTTCTCGGGGCCTCCGGCAGAGGGATCCCTCTCCCCTTCGCTTTTTGTTTTGGCAGCGGACTACCTTTCTCGCTGCCTTGACGTCTTCATCCGTGATCACTCGAGGATGACCTACAACATAAGTGGATATGGTCTTCCTATCTCACACGTCTCTTATGCAGATGACATCATTATCTTCACTCGTGCAGATAATGGTGGACAAGTCAAGCTTATGCACCTTCTAGAGCACTATGGCTCGGTCATCGGTTAGCTCGTCAGCGTGCAAAAGAGCACCTTCATCATCTCACCTCCCATTGCGGTTCGGTGGGCGCAGTGGATCCACGAGCGCATTGGCTTCGCGCACGGAAACCTTCCCATCACCTACCTTGGCGCCCCTCTGTACAAGGGCTACCTCACGAGCGCGCTCTTTGAAGACGTCAGACAGAGGATAATGACCGGATCTCTGGCTAGTCACACATACATCTTTCTTTTAGGGGTCGGTTCATGCTGATCAAGAGCACCCTCAACGTCCTTCCGCTTCATCTCCTTATGGTCCTCGATCTCCCTCACTCTATTATCCACTAGTTAGATGAGTTCATGGCTCGTTATTTCTGGGGGCATGGGGAAGGCTCCCAGAGGGGGAGATAGGTCCACTAGGTAAAGTGGGATTCTGCTTGCTGACCTTTTTCTAAGGGTGGCCTTGGGATCCGCCGCTTATCAAATGTAGTCACCGCCGTCTCTTATAAGATGTGGTGATGCTTTAGGGAGAAAAAGTCGCTTTGCGCTTAGTACCTTCACCGAAAGTACTTCCCTAGAGGTGTGTGTCATCTCTGTAGGGCGACGGCCACCGCTCATGATAGTAGGCAGTGGAGGTGGCTCACCAGGGTAGGTAGGCGTGCCCAGGAGCACATCTTCTAGGCGCTGGATGAAGAGGATGTTAGCTTTTGGGACGAGTTGTGGTTTGGTGAGAGGCCTTTTTCGAGCACTAGGCAGGTCACTCACTCACCTTCTTGCGGGTGAAGGTCCTGTGGACTGATGGGGCGTGGGATAGGGATAGGTTAGAGAGGGTGTTGGGTACTGGAGCGGATTTTAGTGACCAGGTTAAAGAGCAGATCCAACAGATTCTCATCTCGGAGGACTGTTCGGACGGTATGAGGTGGAGACTTACATCTTTGGGTGCATTTTTTACGACCTCGGCTTGGGGGAAAGTACGATTGGGTGACCGACCTAACCTTTTCTTCAGGGCCATTTGGACCGACTTGCTTACCTCGACAATGTATGTCTTTCTTTGACACCTTCTCTGTGTCGAATTCCGATCGACTCTGTGTTGCAGGCAAAGGGGTTCTCCTTCTCTTCGCGGTGTTACTGCTGTGCCGAGACCGATGATTTCCAGACTGAGAATTTTTCCCATTTGTTTTTAGAGAGCGAGGTTGCGAGAAGAGTGTGAGAGCATTTTGTCACTAATACTCATATACCCCTACCCACTACAAACAGTTTCTTTGTACTCTTGAGTTTTTTCTCACAGTGCACACACTTTAGACACGTGGGCTTTCTCATCCATTGTCCGATCATGTGGTTCATTTGGACAGAAATGAATAGTGCGAAGCATAAGGATATTATTTTTATGTGCTCTCACATTGTTTTACAGGTTGATCGACATCTCTCTCTCCTCACAACTCTGGGCAGACACACACCTAGAGACTGGACACGCTGCACGCTGCCCCACCGCTTCTCACCATCTCTGTTGCCGCCTATCCACCACCCACGCTCCAGAGTCGTTGTTTGCCTGAGACCCGACTCCTCTTGGGTTAAGCTAAACACTGACGGATCTTTCGACTGAATTATCGGAGCCGCCGGAGGCGGGGGCCTGATTAGGGATCACAACGGATCTCTCATTACCGCCTTCCACGCCCCTCTTCAGGCCACCTCGAGCTACGACGCGGAGGTTCAAATGCTTCAGATCGGTTTTTTGATTGTAGCCTTTATCTCTACTCACATTTGGATAGAGTTGGATGTCGCCGCTGTCGCCACCCTCTTTACCTCAGGCCACCCGAACTCGTGGCAGATTTAGCACCCGCTCATGCGCATCAGATCCACACTTCAGTCGGTTTGCTACCAGACCTCGCACATCTTTCGCGAGGGGAACCGACACGCTGACTACCTGGCCAGCCTAAGTGCCTCCACCCTTTAGAGGCGCATCTTCCACCTGGATGACGCCCCTCTCCATCTTCGTACTGCTGTGAAGATGGACCAGGTTGACTGCTTCTCGTTTAGGTTCTAGTAGCCGTCCTGTATTTTTGTGTTTTGACCCACTTTGTGGAGCAGACTGTTAGTTTAGGTACCTGTCAGCTCAGGTTCAGACTTTTTGGTTTGGCTGTTGTTTTTTCTTTTTTTCATTTTTGTTTTTAGGTTATGGTTGAACTTGTGTAGACCTGTGATTCTTTGACCCATTTAGGGTCTTAACTATATACAAGTTGGAGATTCGACCTTAAAACTCTCTGGGTGTT